AAAAAAAAAAAAAAAAAAAAAAAAAGCTGTGTTGTCATCTGACTTGACGTGTCTTTATTTCCTTTCATAGCCGTACTTGTGCGTGTCAAGGACTTGATCCAGAAACTTGCGGAGCGTCCTTCTCATTTGGCTGTTCGTGGAGTATGTATTTCAATGGCTGTAAGTTTGCCAGAAGCAAAAACCCCAGGAAATTCAGGCTTCTCACTGATGACCCTAAACAAGTAAGATTTATTTTATTTTGTTTTCCTCCAAATACTTATGCGGATGATTTTCAGAACTAGAAATGAAATATATGGATATCCACCCCTTCTCTCTCACATATTATGCATAGCTTAGCACACAGGCACCCAACTAAATATTTTGTAACTGTAGTATTTATGACTTTTCCACTGTATGAAAACTCAGTGTCGTTTACTATGTACTTAAATACCCTAAAATTGTCCTTAAATGCTTTTCTGTATGCGTATTTAGCTCCTCTGTGTAACTCTGTATGAAATGTTAATTCTCTGCAAGCGTAAAATAGAGCCAAATGGTTTCCTAAGCAGCAAGGCTGCACCTCAGAGATTCCGTCCTTTTGCTGTGTCATAGAAAATTTGGTACCTTGGGTTGCGCTGCTTTCACGCTGCTGTCTGCCCAGCTGACAGCCTGGTCTTCTGTCTGCCACCTCAAATAAACTGTTTTTTCTGTTGACAGCCTGTTTTTTAAATGCTCCTGAAGGAATGAATACACTAAAATATGACGCAGTGACATGATACTGTAATTGCTGCTAATGAGCGTTAGTGATGACATAAAGCTGATATAGCACAGAAAATACAGGGATGGGTTATGTGAAGTAACAAACCTCTAAAAAAACCCAACTAAATTAATTTTTTACATTGGAAATATTTTCATGAAGGCACGAAGGTGCTGGAAACTGATAACCACTGCCTGATGAACGTCTGTTCCTCAGGGTAACTCAGAAGCGCCTCCAGTTCTGACTGTAGATGTCTTGAACCCCACTTCCCTGTGGAACTCCTAGTCTTTACTAGGGCATCTGGCATGCTTTAAGAGACATATGCTATAGGGCAGCCCGGTGCTTAGTTTTCCGTTTGGGTTACCCCCCTGACAATCTTTCTCTGCTCCTGAACTCCACTGCTGCCAGGCTACAGAACAAACCCAGCTGGTTGAAGTCTGGCCAGCAGCAGAGGTATTCTTGCTTTTTTTTTTTTTTTTTTTTTTAAAATATGTATATGTACGGACAATGTGAAACACTAATTGTTTTTTGGAGGAGAGAGTTGCCAGTTGATTGACTGGAGCTAAATATCCCTCCCAAGTCTTCATTTTTTTCCCGAGAGTTGATGAAGCATCTTTTATGCCTACGTGTGTGAATGCAGAACCCTCAGTCTCCTCTGAGTTGTGCTGTCCACTCGCATTGTGGTTATTCCCAGACTTCATTAGCACGTAAATTGGGGAACTTCTGCCTCAGCAGAACAGAGCACACAGGGCCCTTCTGCCTTTCTTCTCAATGAACACATGACTGCGGCAGCTCGAGTTGAAAATAGCCCGGCTTGCCTCAAGAGGGAATTTTTTTTATAAATTTTCAGTTTACAGAAAAACATATTTATTGGGCATTCTGTCATTTTAGGAATCCTGTTCCTTCTCCTTTGTCCTTTTCTGTTCTCCGTGATACTGAGTTTTTAGGTTCTCCCCCTGTGTAACGCTGTGCATGGAGCATTCTGTGCGTCTCTCTTCTCTGTAGTCTCTAATGTTTTTGATAGCATTAGCTGGGGGATCAACAAAGGCAGCAACCTTCATGTGTACTGTCTAATGAAATCTTGGGCTGCGCCAGGTCTCTTACGAGAGAGCCCAGATAGATCTGGCCGTGATCAGAACGCGCGCTGTGAGACTGCAGGCTCTGGTGGTGGCATCGCTTCCTCTGAGCCCGTGAAATGGCTGCCCTGAGCTCCACTGGGACACGCAGCAGCACCTAGCAATGGCACCCCACGCGCGAGAGCTGCCTGGCATCTCTTGTTCACTGGGCAGGTGACCTGTACATTTTTGGAGGAGAACGCTTTCTTCTGCAGTGTAAAGGCAGTTGCCTAAAAGAGCAGAAAACGTAACCAGGACATTTTGTAGATGTGTGATCTAAAAGCGCATTCCCTTACTTCTCCCTTTGCGTGGAAGTTGTTTTAAAGCCTCTTTGGATGCTGCAGCTGGGAGGGGGTGAGGGTTGCACAGCACCCAGGTAACTCCGTAACTGCGCACCCTTAGCCTGCTGCTGCGCGAGAAGCCTCCGGCTGTAGGTGACAGTGGTGCTGGGGCGCTTGCGGTGTGCCTGCAGGTTGTCAGTGCATCTCAAAGAAGTGAAATTACTGGTAAATAATTTTTCTCTTCATTTGGTTTTGTCGTTAATTTTTCTAGTGGATACTTCTTTTAGCTAAATATTGGATATTGATGATTTTGCAGATGACATAAAGCTAGGAGGTATAGCAAATTAAGAAGAGGATAGTTCGAAGTCCAGACAGATTTGGATCATTTGAGGCACTGGATGGAGTGAGATGAGGTTAAGGGTGTAATATGCCTAGGTAAGAATAGTACATAGGAGAGGTAATTATGGATGCATTACCTTCCACGCAGTTCAGAAAAACATGCGGTAGCAGTCAACAGTTGATCAACTGGCTATAGTATGAGTTAAAAATAGTGTATCATTTTGTAACGTAACATCACACTGAAAAATGTGGAAGTATCCTTACGTGTTTATATACATCGCTGTTTACAATATATGGTGATAAATGGGTTGGAGTTTTTTAAAAACAAAATGAGCTGTTGGGTTTTGCAACTATACATTACGCAAAATGGAAGCTGCAGTTGTCTCTCAAAGCCTGGCCCTTGGAGGAAAACAAAGTAGGGAGGATGTCACCGCCCTGTTCTTCCCCAGTTGGTTGATGATTTTCCTGGAAAAGCAGAAATTCAGGAAAAGAATTTAGGGATGGTTTCTACAAATAAGAGCTTAAATGTTACACAGCCGTAGAAGCCCACCGAACTAGTTCCATGCTTGCATGGCTTACCCCAAGGAAGGGAATATTGCTTCCTAACCTAGTAGGTATTTCCATGAAGTTCAGAGTTTTGCACCTCCAAAGAACAAAATATTTATCAAACGTTCCTGGTAAGAGTTCTGTTGCATTGTTGGAAACATACCTCTTCCCCCAATTGCTGCAATTAATGTTAAATGCTATCGGGAGTTAACTCATACGATTAAAAGAAAAAGGCAGCAGAAACCCAGGATTCTTTTAGCAGGGCTGCATCGACATAAATTAAGGCCCTATAAGCAGAACACTAAAAGAAGGCCTGGGGTTCCATCTCCGCTCAGCATGCGGTATAATTTTCCTCTCCTGGATGTTTTTTCTCCAGTTTGTGTGGAACATGCTGTCCTGTGGAACTTGACTGTCTATGTATTGGAAGGGGGAAATGATGCAGAAATTAGTCTTATACTGAACAATCTTGGTATTTTAGTCATGTAAAAGTAGGCTTATTTATGGTTGGTGACAAAGGGCAGCAGAGCAGAAGTCAGATTAATCATAGATAAGAGAGAGGCTGATTTGTCAGGCGTCTCTGAACTGCATTAGATTCTTTTAAAGCAAATTACAGCGCTCTAACTGTTGCCTTTCTCTGCAGGAGGAACTTCTTGAAAATAATTTGCAAACTTTAGCTACTGATGTGGCTCCAGTTTATAAAAAGCTTGCTCCTGAAGCTTTCCAGAACCAGGTAGGTCAGTGATGTTCAGCTAGCATAGCTGTGGCTCTGAACGGGTGGCCTAGCTTGAAAACAAGATAAAACCCCAAAGTACGTTCATGGGTAGAAGCTGCAGGCCTCGCAGATGCGGTGAAACCCCTTGCTTACGTACAGTGGTTGCTTTATTCCATTAGTTTTTAAATGCCGCACCTTTCTGCTGATGGTTAAGTTACTCCCAGAGTTCGGCGTATGTAAAAGGCTTACAGACAACACTGTAAATAAAATGTTTTTTATTATTTAAAGACATTTTGACTCTGAGCTGATTCTCTCGTTGACATCCAGTCCTAAGCATTGCATGTGTCACAGGAAAATACCTGCTTTCCCGTCATTCTTACTGGCTGCGTTTATTCTGTCACGAGTGCAGTTGTGGCTCCCGGGGTTCCGGGTCACTCACTTTCAGTCCCAAGTACCTGTAGTTTATTTTACTTTCAGGTGGAAAATGAGCACATGGGCCCAGACTGTCGGCTGGGATCCAAGGACGGTAGGCCTTTCTCTGGTGTCACAGCTTGCATAGATTTCTGTGCCCATGCCCACAAGGACACACATAACATGCACAATGGAAGCACTGTGGTACGTACACAGGATTTTCTTGTTTGTACTCTTCACTGTTGTGATTACTGTGTGTTTTTAAAATGCTGCTTGATTTAGTGGGTACATTTGCATGAGGTTTTTTAAGGTATTATGAAATTAACTGCACGTTCCCTATTTATAAGCTCCCATGTTATTTGTGTCTATTTATTACTGGTCTAGAAGAGGACAGAAGTTGATCTTAATACAGAACATATCAAGAAAGGGATGGGAGTGATCCTTCCTACAAAATACCTTATTTCTTTTGAGACACCTGGGCCCTTTGGAAAGGACCAGCCGTAGGACAGATCAGCTACTCGCAGCAGAGGTTGGGTGTTCAAAGGCAAATAATTCTCTAACTGAGGAGTTGTACAGACTTCTGTGGAGGAAGAGCTAAACCAAACTTGTTATTAATTTACCTTCCCCAGGCTCGGTTCTCATCAAATTCACTTTTTCTTGCACTGTGCACTTGCCAGGCTTCATGTTAGTTTAGTTACTCATTGGTTTATAATTTTAATTATAAATTGGAAAAGAGACAGAGAAAAACGATGGGGTTTTTTGTTTGTGTTTTCAAGCGGTGTGATGAGGAACTGGGTAAATGAGAGGGCCCACCTCATTTAAAAATGGGCTGCCCTCTACCCATAAAATGGTTAATAGTTAAAAGCTCCTGCAATGAAAAAAGGTGTCATTCTTCTGTATGACGTTAACAAGTAAGTAGAGAGTATGAGATGATGGGGTAGATGGTGGAGTCGGGTGATGATGATGATCTTTAAGTCACAGTATCAAAGGAAAACCCACAGATGTGGTCTTTTAGATGTGGTCATTGTACCAAATACTCTGCTGGACTGCTAGTGAGAAAATCAGTTGGGAATTACTCAGTTAAGTTACCTTTTAGAAATGGAGACCACAGTTGTGAAGAAAGACAATCTCAAAAGAGAAAAGGTAAAATAAAACTGACAGTCTGGGAGGGTTTAGTAGTTAGAGCATTGTAACGCTCTAAATAGCTAGGATGACTTCTTGTACATCAGTGGAGGTAACATTCAAGAATAATTTCTCTATCAAAGGATGCAAATCTGGCAAATAGAAATCCACCTAAAATATCTCCCTGCTTAGCATCAGTCTTTTCTGAAATTTGGAAATGCAAAGTGAATTGTTATGTCGCTGTGATTGAGTAAAACGTTGTGTTTACACATATACTTACCAAGAGCATTTGTATGTAACAGTAATGAAACAACTGGAACAATTGCTTAAGGTTAATTGTGTGCTCCTATGTTGGGCAAATGTCCGTTGCTATAAAGTATGGCAGCAGCTCTGGGAATTCACCAGGGATGCCAGTCCTGGATAGATTAATATTTTTTCCTAGCATTGAAATATGCAGATATTTTGTAAGAAAAATGCTGGAAGCGTATTTTGCAAAATACTAGCAAGATGCTATGAGTAAGCTCGTGTGTAAGCACAGTCACTTTGAAGCTGCTGAAACACAGGAATTCAAACCTCTGAAAAGATCCCAAAATTGAAAGTGAGACTTCCTTTTCATGACAAACCGTACTTCTCAGTGAAATCGAAGGTAGGCATTCCCAAAATACTAGTGTTTTGTTAAGTGCTACATTGCCTCAACTTAAAATGAAACGGAAACTGAGTCTGCTGCTCCTGCTACTCGTCCTGCCATGTTGGGTCCCAGCAAAGTTGTAACTTATGGCCAGAAGTGGCTGGAGGGACAATTAGTGCCCCCCTCCTCTTTTTTTTTTTTTTTTTTTTTTAATTTATTGGGGAATAGTTCTACGAACGTGTATTTATCTGTAATAATCTGAAGCTGAAATATCATCAGATGCTGCTTGCTAGTGTCAATATTTTCTTGCTATGGATTGTATGTGCTGTGTTTGCAAGTAATTCCAAATCTAAGCAGCATGGAACATTATGGCCTGTGTAAGGTATCTCATTATGTAGGCCAGAACTTTAAATTACCTTTCTGTCAAGTTCTGCCGAATTTTCTAAGTCTTGCAGAACGTCATCAAACCATTGTAACTGCTGAAAACTACACCTTGGAATCTGATTTTCATCAGACAGCCCACTCCTACAAATAACTATTGCATACCTGATACTCTCTTTATTTAGATTTGAGATCTCTTTATTTTACTGTACTTGCAGCAAAGGGCTCTATGTAAATAAAAAGTTGTTGCAAGTCTTAACTCTCGATTTACGTGCTTGGACTGGGGTGTTGGGAAGGTTGGAGTTGAGGGTTACCGGCTGATCCGTGCCCAGCCCCGACGGCGAGGAGCTGTGGGCACCTCCTGGGACACGCAGGGTGTGCTGCCTGTCCTCTGCCTGGGTGTGGAGGTATGGTGCTGCGGGTGGGGAGCCTACAGCAAAGAATTTTGTTGCTTTGCAAGCCAGGTGATAGGACTTGCTGGGCTTTCTTCAGTCTAGATGAGTTTGATGATCAAGATTAGGGTTGTTAATTTTAGCTTACAACCAAATCTGGTGATAAAAGAGGAAAGCTAGTGGTAAGAACACAAAAACAAATTACTACGTGTGATTCTAGCATCTGTCTGGTCACCTCCTGCGTTCCTATCTAGTTCCAGAAGCTGCTTTGGCTACCTACTTAGTTTAAAATACACTGTGATTTCTTACAGATCACGGGTAGTGATGATGGAGGAGTCATTTACACCTTAGCTATGACATATTTTGTCTGTAAACTGTACTGTGTGCAGGTAATGCGCCTAACGGAGGTGACAGCTTTCATACAGATGAGTGTTTTCTGATAACGCGGTGACAGAACAAGAATGATTGGCACTGCCTTACAAGCCTCAAACGCCCATAACTGTATTTACTATTTTTCTCTTGTATTTTGGTTTTTTTTGTTTGTTTGTTTAAATGGTAGTCACACAGCTTAAAGTCTGTACAAAGCATACTTGTCACCTTGCACTTTGCTAGTGTTGGTGAGATTTCTTCCCTTCTTTCTTATTCTGACCCCAAATCTTCATTTATAAAATCCTAAAGTTCCTCCAGACTAAAAAGGTTAAAGTAAATACCTTTATAGGACGGCATTTGCGCATGCTGCCAGCTCTGTCACCACTACTTAGGGCGGAAGGGACACCTTTTTGTTTTCTGCATTCGGCTGTTGGTGAATCACTTTTACCACAAACGTGACAGGAATGCTGCGCAGCGCACCGAAGGTAGAGGGAAAACAGAATCTATTTAAATTATTTACACCAGACACAGACGTGAGTTCAGCAAAGTACTTAAATGAGTTTCATGATAAGCATGGAGTTTCCTATAAACTTAAAAGAATATGTTATCTAATGAGCTGCCCATAACAATTTCCTTGCTCTGACTCTGCCAGAATCTCAGAAAAGCATTCTTGTATTTTTCTGGGTATCCACATTTTGGTGGTCAGCTGTGTTACTTGTGTGTGACTGAAGATGATCGAGGCTGTTGTTTTTGTTAGCAGCAGGGGGAAAAAGTCTCGGAAATGTCTTCTGTAGATACAATAGCATAGTACATCTTAACTTAGAGAAAGTGAGGATTGCCAGGGGTGACTTGGTTTGCTGAACGTCTTTCCTGGCCAGCAAAATCACGCCCTGAATTTAGCAGAGCCACTTTTTAGTAGAAAAGCTAAAAATAAAAATGACTATTGCCCATTTGCTCTGTAGCAGAATGAAAATGCTTGGCCATTCTACAGAGGTGTAAACTAACGTGTTTATCTGAAGGAAGCAAAAGTACTTTCTGCCTATGAATTGAGTTGCTTAAGAACCTTAAAGTCAATAAATATACCATCCATTTTTACTCAGACTCTTTTGTCATCTTTTAACATTCTCCTCAGGGCCACTGATGTACGTTACAACTGCAGCATTAGGGTGCAGTGTTCCTTCTGGGCACGAAGCTAGACTGTAAATGAGCAACACACAAATAAAAGCTTTATAGTTATTAATGGAGTCAGTGAAATGTAAGTATTCTTGTTCCTATAGGGGACTAGCTGCAAAGGATCACATTCTTCATACCTGTGTGAATCCATTTAAACCACTGACATACGGGTTTTCCATTGACTGGAACAAAATGGTTTAATGAAGACTTGGCCAGTCCCGTGGCACGTCTGTGGGCGTTTCTCTTCCGAAGGGGCACGTTGCCCTTTTTGCTGGGGTTGAGGAAGGAGGGAGACCAGCCACAATTACGCGTAATGAGTGGTGCCACGCAGTCTGCTGCAGACACCATGGAAGAAGGGGAGGAAGATGAATCTGTGCTCCCAGGGCAGCTGCAATATAAAACATGTTGTTGGCAGCAGAACTCAGTAGTGTCAATCAGCAATCCGTCAACTAACCGCTCCTGATTTATTTTAAAAAAAACGCAACAAAGAAACCTTTGCTTTTCCAATAACTTACTGTATTTCTGTAGTTACAGCTCATCAGGTCATTGCACGTAGGTCTGGGCCTTGGCAATAACTGACAGAAGGGCTCCATCAGTGGTTAGGCTGCATTCTGGACCATGTCCACAGCTCGCCTTGTGAGCTACAGAAGCACTCGATGCTTGAACTGGTGGTGGTTCGGATCATAACAAATAGAAACGATAAACCCCACCAGGCTGTATAGGAAAGGTTTTTAGTGTTAATATTGTGAAAATGGAGAAGCGTTAGAAGTTCACTCTACTAACCTGCGAGCTCCCAGACAACCGGTGTGGTTTGTGCGCCGTGCCCGTGTTGCGGCACACGGTACAGCAATGCTGTCTGATGACGCTTGTGACGTGCGCAGAGAGTGCTCAAAAAGAAAATACGTTTGGGGTTCCCTTTGCTGACTCTCGGGCTTATGCATGCTCGCTCAGGGCACGATGGGCCAATAAAACGAGAGAGTTTGCCTTGGCTGTAAAGGAAAAGCAACACTGTTCTTTTTGTAACGGTAAGCAGCGATGATGTAGTGGCACCCAGAGTCCCAAAGGGCACCCGTGCTCAAAAAGAAAATACGTTTGGGGTTCCCTTCGCTGACTCTCGGGCTTATGCACGCTCGCTCAGGGCACGATGGGCCAATAAAATGAGAGTTTGCCTTGGCTGTAAAGGAAAAGCAACGCTGTTCTTTTTGTAACGGTAAGCAGCGATGATATAGTGGCACCCAGAGTCCCAAAGGGCATCTACTGCTCTCCATCAGCAAGGGGGAGAGGAGCACGGGAAACTCGAGTCCATCTTTTGAGTTTAGAAAGGCCGTTTGACCGCTTTGCTGAAACTTGAATGTAAAACATCTGTTCTTACAACACAGTGGAAAAGGCTACATCATTTCTACGTGTGAAGATCGAGAGGACAGAGGCAGATCAGGGAGTCCCAGAGTGATGCATCGGGAGCTGTGTGGCTGCAGATGTTTCTCTGGAGATCTGTGGAAGGAATTACATTGAGTTCATGGGTGCATTTTAAGTCTTAAAAAAGTTTCACGAATATGCAAGACTTACCATGACATCACTAAACCCAGAATAGGTGATGGTTTTGATCACCAAGCACACTGGAAACCTAAACAAACCACTTGGCCAACGTTTTCTTTGGCTTTTGAGCATCCTGGATGATTTAGCTGCGTGTTCTGGAAAAAGTATTTAGAGTGGCAGGATGTGCAGCTTCACTGCCTAAGCGGGCTTTCATAGAGTCCTTGATTTTCTTGCATTCAGGTTTCATTTTGGTCAGGTTGTAGCACAGTATCAGTACCAATGGAAATGTTGCTTTGAACTTCTCGGCGATAGCTTCTCTTTAAGTTTCTTAATGGAATATTTTGCATGGGTTTGAATATTAGACTGGCATTTGAAACGGGTGTTTCTCATTTGGAGGATTACTCAGCTGTAAATTCCTAGTTTATCTCTAGGGCCGTAATTTATTGCTGGTTTCCCTGTAGCATTAACTTTGCAGTTACCCACTTGCCACTGTGTCCTTCCTTTTATAGGAAAATACACTAGGGCGGACACTGACCTTCAAATTGTAGATATATTAAATGTGCTGTCATGGTGTTTAGGCTGTAGGTGTACTGGTCTTCAGGTTTTTAACATGAATTTTTTTCATTTTATGTGTTCTAACTCAGTATTTAATACATTGTGTGCGTTGGAGTCGACCGTGCTTTCAACGTAGTTCTGCCAATGTGCTGCAGCCCTCATCATCTTCAGTTCCTCAAAACAGGCAGTTCTTTAGCTTTCTCGTTCTAAAGAGGGTCTTGGCTTTGTGATAGTGACAAATACTCATTTTTGCTTAAAATAGGTTTTCCTTCAACCAATATGAGCTTTGGGTTTTGTCTCTGCTTGTATGCTCTCCCCTGGGCCAAGCATTGTGAAAATGCAGAGCTAATCTACCTTTGCCTAATTGTAAGCCAGATGAAAGAGGATGAATACATTTTTAAGAGTAAATCTTTTTATGGAAAAGAATAAATTGAATAAATGTCCAAGATCACTTTTCCATGAAAGCGGCTGGTGAAATGCCTGAAAATTTAGAACTGTACATTGGATGAGGGTCTCAATTTTCAAAATAAGCAGGACTGTGGATTGAACCTTCCAGGTCTGGATGTTTTTCAGACTAGCGCATGGGTCCAGGCGCAGGTTGAAGAGTATTTTCTAAAGGCAAGTGAGAATCACACAGTTCCTGATGAGAGCCAGTGGGTGCGAGGCTGCTTTTGTTTTTAATTTAGAAGGGGAGGATGTGCTGGGCTTCATGAGAGCATGAGTCAGATGTAATCGTGCTCTCTGTATGTCCTGCTCTCCTTCACCCTTCCCGAATAACTTGGAATCTGCTGGCAAATTTCAAGGAGATTTCACTGCACTTTGCAGAAATTGTCTTTGGAGATTTATTTTTTTTAACCTCTTGTTCCAAGCTGTGAAATTTCACTGTGGAGTGGGGGAGACAGATCCAGGTCAGCTCCTCTGCTGAGGAGGCAGCAGGGCCCTTCCTGACAGGTTAATCCATGTGTACCTGCTGGCCCAGTAGCCGGGAGGCACCGAGCTTCATCAGCCGGGCCCTGCTTCTGCAGGCTGGTGCCCAGCGGAGGCGGCAGTGGGGCACGGAGGGGAGCAGGGATAAGGGTGCCGGGGTTGGGTGCTTGGGCGCGTGGGGACGGAGAAGTCCATAGGGAACCAGGCGTCATTTGCTGCTCATGGAACAACTTGTTGTTTTTTCTAAATCTTCCTCGTAGTCCAAAGGCTGCCCGGTGGAGGTAAGTACGCATGGAGCAAAAGCACATCAGTAAATGCTACTCATCAGCTTCTAATTGCCCCTTCACTTTGCCTTCTTCAGAGCCCTTCTCTCGATCCTTTCAAATGCCACCTGAAAGCTCTTCTCCTTTGTCTGTGCCCCTCAAATGTTCTCCTTCTGCTGCTCTGCGACTGTCAAGCTTTGCATATAGCTGTTTATAAAGCCCTAACCGCCACCTTATTGATTTAGGATTTTTAGTTTGCGATTCTGTAGCTATCCTGGAAATAATTGTGTGATGCCTTTACGTGAAAGCTGTGCTATAAAATAAAAAATGTTTGGGTTTTTTTTTTTCCCCCCTAAATAATAATATTATTCTTCTCCCCTGGAACGTCAGGCATGGTGATAAGATGCTGGGAAATTGGATTAACTGTTTATCATAGGCATCACGTTCAGCCTACACAATGATGGAATGATAACGTTTCCATTTAGGGAGTATCATCTCATCCTTGGATGGCGCTCAAATTCCTCTATGTGCGTAGTAGTAACTCCCTGTGAAACAGCAGCTTAACTAAGCCATGATGTTAGTGCATGGCTTTCTAGTCCTGTAGTCTATTGTTGTGAAAAACAGTAGTCTCTTGTGACTGTGATCAAGAAAAGTATGAGTGGCGTGACTGTTCGTACACGTGCTCGTACGGGTGAAACTGTCGCCATCCCTTGGAAAGCACGGGATGAAGCCAGCAAGCGTACCGCTGGCTTTAGCGCTTCTTTTCAGGTGAAGGCTCAATATTAATAACGGCTGGAACTCTCGAAGTGCTAAAAATGAGCCGTTGCAATGGGTTTAAATATTCATCCCCGTTTCTGATGAGCCCTTACCAGACTGGATCTAACCAGTGTTCTCCTCCCGGCTCCAGTATCTCACAACACGTAGTTTAGTAAGAGAAAGTAGGTCGGTGGCCTAAGAGAAACCAAATGTTTGCTGGGTCTGGTGGCTTCATTACAGCAGGCAGTCGGAGCTGGGGAAGGGTCTTAATTTAAGACAGTGAGTATGAAGAGAGAGGGAGCGAGTTAGAGTTGAGAGCTGCTAAAACTACAGAGCAGCGTGAGTGACCGGGGGTTTTTTTCTTATTTGCCGGCCAAAACAAAAACCAAACCAGGTCCATGTAATAGAAACTTCTTGTTCAATCCAAAAATATTTTTTTTTCATCTTTTTTAGTCCTTAAAAATGAACCTGAATATCAAAGATGTGTTTAAAAAAAAAAAAAAAGTGAATGTTTAGGAATTTAGAGTGTATTTACAGCTCAGATTATTTTCCAAGGTTGGTGTGTATTTGTGGATAGTGTGAGTTGAGCCAAAGTTTCGTTTTTCCTGTCCAGGACATGTGCTTTGGTCTTATTCTTCAAGTACCAGTAATTTTTCTGCATCATCATGAATCAAACAAAATATTTGTCAGATGTTCCCATTTGAAAGACCCATAGCGTTGAGGCCATCAAATGGGAGAAAACAATGAAGTCTAGGATGGCTGCTTAAATATTTAAGTAACTTTTGTATTTTATGTATGTGGTTGCATTTGTCAATATTTCTGTTCTCGCCAGGTCTGTACATTAACGAAGGAGGATAACCGGAGAGTGGGGGTGATCCCAAGCGATGAACAGCTCCATGTGTTACCTCTTTACAAAATTTCACAAACAGATGAATTCGGCACCGAAGAGGGACTGGAAGCTAAGATAAAAGCCGGAGCCATACAGGTGCTCACAGCTTTTCCCAGAGAAGTACGGATGTTAGCGGAGCCTCTCAGAGCTACGAAGAAAAAGAAACCAGACACAAGGAGGACCCCGACTGAAAAGCAGACGTTGATAGATAAAAAATATTCAACACCAGTAAAGCTGAAAACTGAAGCCCCAGAAAATCTTGGCAACACTTTGCATTGTTTAGGTGAGTGGTGCTTATTAAATTCTGATGGTCTTTTCTGATACCGTGTTGCCTCTTACCCATCAGAGGGGAAGAAAAAGCTCCTTAATACTCAGTTTTATAAAATACTTGTATATTCTGCATTTTATGGGCTAACAAGCAGGTCATTGTAGTCAATATTCTCTCTTGGCACAGGAAAAAAAAAAAGAGGCGATCGCCCAAAAACAAGCGTGTGATGGTATGTTAGCACCAGTGAAATATTTCCAAGTTCCCTTATTCTAATAAGTAACGGCAGTAGGATCATCTTGAAATACTGTTGTAGGAGTGTTTATCTAAATAACAGACACGGATTTCTGTCGTTTGGAAGTACAGGAACTGTGTTATCCCCTTCCTATGAAAGGCATTGGCTTTCTCAGAATCCGAGTTGATGGTAATTTCCTATCAGTGGCAGGGATACTGCTGCAAAGGAAGAGGTTTGCAAAAGAACCCCAGGTTCTACCCAGGGAGAAGGTCATTCTCAAATTGTTCCTTGAAATGGTATTAGCAAGGGCCGGAGAGGTGGAACCTGCCAGCAGCCGGGTAGAAGGTGCACCGTGGTGGCCCTGCTGCGAGAGGATTGCTCGGGCCAGAATCTGCTGCTGCAGCGTGCGCTTGCGCGGCGTAGAGCTGTGACTTGATGGAGCTGTGTAGAGGTGCTTTTGATTTATGCTTTTGTGCCGGGGTCAGATTTTTGACCAGTGCGTCGAGGATAGAACTGTCCTGTGGGACTTTGCAGTAGTGAGAAGTAGAAAAGAAAGAAGAGCTGGGGGAAGCCATGGTCTTAGATTCTGTGATTAGAGGGGAAAAAATACAATAAAAGGAACTAAAGCGTAGCCTATCTGCTGTCCTTTTGAATTCTGTTTCGTGAGAGGCATCCAGATAGAAGTAGTAGGCTTAAGGGGAGGAATAATAGTTAAACATATTTGGAAGAACGTCTGCAGTTTGGGGGGAAAAATGAAAAATAAATCCATTTGACACATTTTCTCAATTTGCACTCAGCACCCTGCTTTGTCTCAGTAGAGGAGTCAGGGCAACCAATAGACTTTGCCTATAGCAAGATGGAATAAGAACAAGAAAAGCGGCATTACTGACACCCCTAGGAAATGAGGCAGATGTTCAGTTAATCTACATGCGAGTTTGGGAGAGACAGTCCAGGCTTTGAAACAAATGTAAGAGCACTCCCTCGGGTGGAGGACGACATCCAACAGTAACTCCAAAGCAATGATTAATAACTTCCATCGTGCTCGGGGTGGACTGGAAGTCCTGGAAGCGTTAGAGGGCTCTGCTTTGGGAAGGAATTCTGAAATTGTCTGATCTCACTGGAACGTTCTTTTGAATCTTGGAAATAGTTATAACCACCTACCTGTACATGACATTGCAGCTACCAACACTCGTGGCTTCGGTATCTGGAAACTGTGCCTTTAACAAACGGTACAATATCCGGAGTTTTGCCATGTGCTTTGGGCACACAGAGCTTTATTCCTTGAACATGCAAAAATAATAAAACAACTGTGTAAACAAGCCAACTTACATAACTCGTTTGGGCTTGAAGAATTTTGGTAGAGTAATTTAAAAGGGCCGCTGATAAAAATAAGTCGCAGAGTGAGGAAGAAATACTTTTATGAGTGAGAAAGTGGTTCAGACATGGAAAAAGAAGAATATGAGTAGAAACACCGAGTTTCTATCCTAGAAGTGCAGGTTCTGTCATGGAAGTTTTGATAGTGGAATCCCTCAAAATAGACGTCAGCACTGTAATCCCCAAATCTGCTGATGTGAACAGTTGCAAGGAGGCTTTGCGAAATTGGGCCGCAGTGGCAGAGGAAGTTCAGGTTTGCAAAGGGCAAGGTGTTGGGCTCTGCAGGAGATAAAATAACGTGAAGCATTTATGCACATCGTTGATGTGTTTACTTTCATCATACAGGACGATGGCTGGGTAAAGACCTCAGCTCGCCGCTGCTGCCCTGCCCCTGCCCCACCGTAAAATGCAGAGATCTGGAAATCATGGATTTAGAACACTACAGTATTGTACTTGTACACAGACTTTTCTGGTGGTTACAAGGGATCGGTCATTGATTGGTTCTTTCCATTCTGCCAGCAGCAGCTATCGTTTTAGTCCTGAGGAATGGAAAATTTTAGTCCAGCTGAGATTGTTAGGCTTAATATGAAAACAAAATCAAAGGGCCTGTGATACAGGGGAGTTGAGACTAGACTTATCCAGTAGTCATTCCTGATGGTAAACTAGGGGCTCCCTGGTTCAAGAAAGATGAAGAACTCCCAGAGAGAGTCCAGAGGAGGGCTACAAAGATGATGAGGGGACTGGAGCATCT